TTTGTCCGAATAAACTTATTACATTATGTTCTTAATTATAAAAAAAACGAATTTTAAATTACAATTTCGGGAATATATAAACCCAAGACCATACTAATGAATATGATGCTTTGAATTAAATGACATTTCATACTTTTCATATTTAAACGTTGAAAAATTAAATGAATTAATTAAATGAAACCGTTATATTTAAAATATATAAAAAATGCTACCTCTTTACTCTTAATGCTTCTAAGTTTATTGTTCGAATAAATTTGATAAGAAATATTTTTAATTTTTAAAATATGGTTTTTAAATTCCAATTTCGTGATCAGAAAAACTTTTTTATATATAAAATCTAGACCTTACCAATAAAGATAATGATTTGAATTGAATGACTTCAACATTTAACTACTTTTCATATCTCAACGTTAAAAATTCAACTCTCTTTTGAAAGCTCTGAGATAAATTCAACGAAAAGTGAAAACAATATAACTTTCAACTCTTCAAGGTCTGTAAAAAGTTTTTAGGCTTTTAGTTACCGCTCATGAATATTCATTAGCTGAAACACCGTTTCCACGTGACATTGAATGAAAGAGGAAAATTATTATTTTTTTTTTCAGTCTTTCATTTCAGGAAAACTTCCGTTTGGTCCTTTGCATTTATCATTTTGAATACAGTATTTTGCATATCAAAACTTAAAAGGAAATATAAAATAGCATCTTTTCTTAACAAGAAAGTAACTGAAATTTTCTAATTTTAGCGAGTCAGATTTTACATACTTTCATTAGAAAGTAAATGGAATGTTTTGAGAGAAGAAAGGGGGAAATATTTGTTTAATAGGTGCAAATATTTTCGTTTCATAAGAAGACGATCTTAGAAAATTGTTTTAATTAAAATTAATTGAAAGTAATGTATTTGTTAACGAAAAGAGTCATTAAAAAATTTCGAAAATGAATTAGTTTCAGTGAATAAAATTAATTCAGATATTAGATTAATTTAAAACACTACTAATTATATTTCAATGAAGACGAGATAGATAATAAATTCATGATAATAAAAATTGAAGTAAATATTTGTGTTATAAGTAATCAAGGTAATTCACTTGATTGATTTTTCTGACTAAAAGCTAAGTTTATAATAGGCGACATTTACACTTTTTCTTAAAATTTATTTTTTGTTCATCAGGACCATTTTTTACAAAAAAATAAAAAAAAGACTGTCAGGGAATAGAGCGTTCGCCTCCCAATGATTGACAAGGGGGATTGAATCCCAGCGATGGCACGGCCTCCTCAGCGGTAGACGGATTATTGGTTAGAGACCCCATGCCGTTTGTCTAACAGTGAAAGGTTTTCGTGGTTTTCCTCTCCATGTAACGCGAGAGGGGAATAGTTCCATCAAAAAGTCCTCCACAAGAATAAAATTCTTCCAATACTTGATCCAGGAGTTCCCTTGTTTTCTGGGTTGGGTTCAAAATTACAAGGCTACGGAGTTGAACATTGGTAGTCGTAAACTCTAAATTTGGTCGGCTGTTCTGCCGTTATGAAAATAATATAATGTATAGTATAGCCCGAGCCGCTATATTATATATTATGAAATAATATAGCCCGAGCCGCTGGAGCTCCGAGCATAAAGCATTCACCTCCCAATAAGGTGACCCAATTTCTAATACGAATTCTGCTCGTGGCTCGCACCGACCACAGTGCTGACGTAAACTATCCTCAATGGTAGAAGGATCAAGGATTAGAATCCTCTTGCCGTCGATCTAACCATGGGAGTTTTTCGTGGTTTTTCTCCCCATATAACGCAAAAGGGGGTTAGTTTCACTAAAAAGTCTTCTCCGAAGGCTAGTTTGACTCAGTGCTTCATCCAGGATATCCCTTGTCTCCTGTGTTTAGTTCAAAATTACAAGGATACAATAGTTGAACATTAATAGTAACTGTGACAATTGGGAAAGATTGTTCTACACCAGTTATGTAATAAAAATAAAATATAAATCTCAATTGTATTTTTATTTATAGCTTTTTCATTCGTCTAAAAGAATAAATAGCATTGAGAATAAAATAGTGAAGAGTGTATAGCACAAAAAAATTAGTGAGGTATTTTCGGTCGGGTGAAAAAAAAATCGCAAATCTATTATTGACTCTAATGGTGTTTAATTAATTGTGGTAATAGAATTACTAGTAACTGTGGTAACTATTACAGCAGTTCGCGTCTTAGGGGATTGAACGCTCGCTTCCAATGAGGTGAACCGGGTTCGAATCCGAGCGATGGATGCTCGATGATTCGAATTCCGCGCAGACCACAGTGCTGACGTGAAATATCTTCAATGGTAGACGGATCATGGGTTAGAGTCCCTTGTCGTCAGGCTAACCGTTGAAGGTTTTCGCGATTTTCCTCTCCATAAAACGCAAATGCGGGTTAGTTCCATCAGAAAGTCCTCCACGAAGGCAAATTTCTCCCAATACTTGATCCAGAAGCTCTCTTGTCTACTGGATTGGGTACAAAATTACAAGGCTACGAAGTTGAACATTAGTAGCCGTAAACCCTAAATTGGGTAGGGTGTTGAACGTCGGTATATATATATATATATATA